AGGTAATGAAATTAAATTTTTCTTTTCCAATTTACAATACACAATTTGCTAGAATAAATATATCAGTGGAGTGATAATTTAGATCTAATTCGTGTATCAATAACAGTATTATTGAGAAGTCAAAAAAATAAAATGATAAGGGAAATCTTTTCAACATAAATTAAGACTACTGTTGCATAGAATAAATTAGAAAATTGTAGGTGTACTTACAGATAAGAAAATATATTATCACTTACTACCTTACTCTTATCTTTTTTTTTCACCATTTTCTTGTAAATATTTGTTAAATTGATAAATTATCAATGTTTCAATTATTGTGAGTTATTACATTGATAATTTATTACTATTTCATGTTAGAAATTCAAAAATGTATATATATAAATAATTAAAAATATTATATTATAAAAAGTATGATTACTGAATAATTAGTTAAATTAATAAGCAGATACTAAGTAATAGTAGTAGTAGTAGTAGTAGTAGTAGTAGTAGTAGTAGTTATAGTAAAAATGAAATATTTGTGAAAAGATGAATAATCATTGACCCGACCCCTATCAGTGTTTTTGTTTGCACATAACGATGAAAATTACTTTATAATATAATCACAAGTATAGATGAATTCAATCTTTGATATTTCTATGAAAGATATTATTGAAGTAAGCAAATTGATGAGGTTGAAGAAAAACAAGTTTCGAGATGTTTATTAATGTTTAACCTCACTCACCACTTAAACAACATTATGCCTTCTATCATTCTTTTATTCTTTCATCAGTTATTTCTCATTTCTTACCTTATCTTCCTATTTCTATCTTCTCTTTAATACTTTTTTCTTTTCTTCAATTTCACAAATTTATAAACATTTGAATTGTGAAATTGAATAACAAAATCATACCACCCACCATTCTTCTCTCTTTCCATTCTTATTATTTGTCAAATTTGTTATTTGCATGCAATTCTTCAATTTGGTATTCCTTCCATTCATTCATTCCTTCCTTTTTTTCTGACAACAAAATTATTTTTCTTTTTCTGCAACGATTTATTTTACTTGCAAGAAATAGTTGAAATCATATTATTGTAATTTTTCTTTCTGCAGCAAATATCTTACTGTTAATAATATCACATCATCAGATCATCATTATCATTATCAGATATCATCATCATCATCATCAGATCATCAGATCATCATCATCATCATCATCATCATCATCATCATCGGGTCATCATCATTAGATCAATCATCATCATCATCAGATCATCAGATCATCGTTATCATCAGATCATCATCATCATCATCATCATCATCAGATCATCAGATCATCGTTATCATCAGATCATCATCATCATCATCATCATCATCATCGGGTCATCATCATTAGATCAATCATCATCATCATCATCATCATCATCATCATCATCATCAGATCATCAGATCATCATCATCAGATATTCATCACTAGACATCACAAAACGTCAATCCATGATAATTTTGCAGAAATTATTGAAATGAGAAAATGATACGTATATTTGCATCTTTTAAGACTATAATGTTTAGCAATATAAGCTAATTGTGACAAATTTTTTTCCAATTTTTTTCTTTACTAATAGAATTTGCGAAATTTGAGGAATCAACTAAAACGGATGAAATAGCAGTTAGCCGGAATTTTTCCTGTTTTCCGTATTGTTTTATTTTATTCTTAGCTTCTCAATCCTTTTTCTAATTATAGATAAATAGTTATTTCGAATTTTTAATATTTGATTATAATTATTGAATAATGAGATTAATTAGTTGCATTGAAATACTGACTGATTATATTTAAGGAATCACAAAACAGAGAAATAAATCAAAGGTTTAAAATAAAAAGGATTGCTGAAAATAATTCAAAATTGTCATATATATATATAATTTTTTACTTCTTTGCAGTTTGAAAATTACGAAAATTTAATGCTTCCAATCTTGTTATGATCTATTTCATTAGCTTCAAGTATGACTAACTATATTAATTTATGCATTAATTCAATATGACTATATTAATTTATCGAATATTGATTTGATGCAATTAATGCATAAAATAAAATATAAAACAAATTACAGTATTTATAAAACCTTTTACGACTGATTATAAGAACAAATATATTTAACCATGCTACAGTAATTATCATACAATAACAAGTGTATCCATTCATGCTACAGTAATTATCGTAATACTGTAACTTTTATCACGCACTAATTTATCCATCAAACTTAATATTCCTGATACCTATCTTGATATTTTCCATGAAATAATTGATTATTGTTAAAGCCATATCAAACATTTTTATTTTGTAACACTAGTAGGTATAAATTATCCGATAGTTATAGCATCAACAATTTTTGTTCATTTATTTACTATCAAATAAAGCTATTATTAATCAATGATAATCAGAATTTATCATTATCTTATCGAATGTTTTATAAAATTCGAAAAAAAAAAGCATTTTGTAATATCTGTCTATATTATCTTATCATTATTATTATTTTCATTGATCGATTCACTAATATTGCATTTGTTTGTTTTTACCAGTTATCTTGAAATGATCAAAGATTAAGAGGTGAAACATGAGAATTTTTGTTGCAACTAAAGTTTCTGATACTATGAGAGAATGAAACACAAGCAGTGGCAAATAATGATAATGAGTTAACGACACTAGAAAGCCGTGATGATGATGATGATAATGATGATGATGCGGAGACAAGGTTGTTTGTGCATAGTTGTTCATTTCAGATATCATTTTACAACCTCTCTTACTCTATCATTTCATCTGAAATTTCATATATTTATTTTTTTCAATTTTGTCTATTTTTTATTTTAAACATTTTTCCTATCTTCAATTACTTTCATGATAAATAAAAATAGAAAGTTGAATTATTACTGAATATGAAAGTATTGATAAATTGCATTCAAAATTGTTAACCTAATGAGATAAATTTAAAATACAATGATTAAATAGGATTAATGATAATAATGATATAATTCATTAATATCATTTTAATTTATTCAAATGGATATGTTCTCTTTTTTTCTATTAAATGAATATTATTAGAGAGTTTCATATTTTGCAGAAAAGAAGCGATCCATTTTTATCATAATTAGTATAAATTTCAAAAAAATGAAATTTCCAATCTAACAAAGAAGAAATAGTAATGAATTTTATTACTTAATTTAAAATAATATGAAACGAAATGGTATTGTTATGTGAAATATAGTTTATACGTTGTAAGTGGATTAAACAGAATTGAATATTATTTTTGATAATTTGATCATTGAGCAAAAATATGCGACTAATTAATTAATTAATCTTTCTTTTTCATAGTTAAAGAATAGAATAAAATTATTAAGGATGAAGAATAAAGTGTGCAGGAAAAGTAACAGTTAATTAGTTATAATTAATCGAAATCTTTTACTAGATGATGCATATAATTAAAGTTAAAGTTGATGATTTAGAGTGATGATTAATGAAATTTATTAAATGATAAGATAAAATCATAAAATTCTTTTTGTATCAATAATTATTAGAATGATAAAAAAGACTGAGTTATCACAACAAAGAAAAAGAAAGAAAGAAAAAATCAAAATTTAATTCACTAAATGTTATAATTAATTGTAAATGAATAATTATGATAAACGTTTAATGTGTAGCTGAATTAAATTAATTGCTTAGAACAAAAAAAGAATTATTCAGTCATATTTCATTTCCCTTATCGTGAATGCAATTTATTCCAAAATCACGATTTATTTTATTCGAAAGAAAAAATATACGATTATCAACTATAACAATTATTTTTAGTTGTCAGAACTCATTTTAGGTTTATGCTTCATTGAAAATTTGGTTGAAAAACATGTTGAAAAATTTACTACTCAGTTGATATAATATCACTCATATTTTTAGTATTCTAAACATTGTCGTCTTTACTGCATTTCTTCATCGTTTTTACTTATCGATTTTGATGAAATATTACTACCCCTACTTTTATCGAAAAAGGAGTGATAGAATTGGTTCATGTAATTGCATGAAGTTTATTTGACTAACGAATGTAAACAACGTTATTATACTTTAGGATTTGTGCATAATTATTATTCTCATTTGTTGTGATATTTTATTTTTTGGCTATTTTTAAAATCGTTTTCTTTTTTTTTTTTTGATAATTTTATCACTCACAACTGATAAAAAATTAAAATAATTTTTATTGTTTTATTAATGATAACTTTTTTCTTTTTTGTTTACAAAGAATTAATTTATTATACATTAACTGATAATGTTAATAATTTGCAGTAAATTGTTGAAAATAAATTGATACATTAAAAATGTAACCTTTTGCAATATTATCAATGTAGCATTTATTCAAATTGAATTAATCATCTTTCCGTTTCTTTTTAAAGAAATGACTAAGCAAAATTTTGCAAAATTATTTATTCCAAAATTATTATATGAAATGATAAATTGATAATTTCAATTAAGATATTTATTAAAACAAAAAGGAAATATTTGCATATTTTTCAAATCAAATTCATAAAGAAAAAAGAAAATGAAAGTGAAAAATGTAATTTCGAAATTATCTTTTAGAAATTTCAATTTTATGTTGTTATTGAAGGTTCATTAAAATCGCGCATGCCATATTTATCATTATAATCTGTTTGCTTGAAAAGAAAACTGGTAGTAGTCATGTGCACATTGTTAAAAATGATATAAATAAATATTGACATAGCAATTAAATGATCAATAATAAAATTAAAACAACAATTCAATTTTTTTTTCCCATCTTTCCTGTTGCAATTATTATTCGCAAATAAGTTTGAAACATTTTTTAGTGTGTTTATTTTCAACGATATATACTACAACTAATAATACATTGGAATAATTAATGTATGTTAGAGAATATTATCGTATTTTTTAGATTAAAATTTAAATTCATTCTTTCTCTTTTCTCATTATCCGAAATACGAGAATTAAAAGTAGTACTTCGATTAATCGGAGGGAGTGTGATTCAATCGCAGTAAATTAAACAGGTAAGAATAGTTCAATTGTTGAGAATTATTCGGGAAAGCTGATCGAACTGATAAGTAATCTTAAATTTGAAATATTAAATTATATTTTCTTATTCCAATAATTTCTTTTTATTTGTTATAAAAACAAAATACGTTTTTCCAATTATTCTTTCTGAATTTCAGTATTTAAAACAAATTTACTTATTTTTTTTTTTTAGTTCCACTGAATCAATCTCTAAAATATTTTTACGACATCGTTGAATTTTTGTAATATTTACAGCAATAGCGGTAGAAATTGAATTATGTATTTTTTTTTGCACTGAATCATGATTGAGTACATTACTGCTACAGCAATATTAGAAGTGATATTTTTAACTGTTGAATAAGCAATTCTTTTTCTTCACTGCAAAAAAATAGAGAGAGAGGACGAATAAATATCATTACTATTAGTTTAGGCTGAGAAATTTCGAAATGTATGAGATAAAAGGAATGAATATAAAATTGATTTAAAATCACTTGTTCAAAAATAAAATTAAAATAAAGTCTTGCGCTGACACGTCGGAACAGCTTGACTGTTTTGACAGAATCAAAGAAGTAAATTGGAGAAACATCAAAATAGGGAAAAGTAAACCTCCAGTTTACTTCTTTTTGATTTATAATATTCCCTTTATGTATAACCATTTATTTTCAATCTTTATTCATTAATATTTTTGTTGCTCTGTCTTGTTCAGCTATTTTTTCTATTCTTTTTTTTAAAAAAAGTTATTTCATTATTTAACGTTAACATTAATTAGAAAACAAAAAAATATCAGATTAAAGTTGGATAATTGTTCTAAACCCTTGATATTGATCTAATCAAACTATATTTACAGTCTTTTTGGGTAATAGTATTTTTTTATGAACGTTAGAGATCACAAATAAAAAGAAGAACTTTCCGAGAGACAAACTTGAAATGCTAATCTTTCAACTAATTCGTTTAATCCATAAGCTGAATTGTTTATTAGTCGCTAAGATTGACTGATTATATCAGGCCAACTGTTTACATTGTCTTTTAGGCTTATTTCAAATTTCTCTAATTTTTATCCTGCTGTGTCTCTATACTTCACAAGCACTATTATTCCTAAAATATCATAAGTCTTCATAAGTCTAATGTTTCTTCCTTGTCTAACTTTAAAACCAATTAATTCTCTTGATGGAATATTTGACAATAAATCCTTGACGAATAATGAATATTACTACATCAAAACATTAATGCCACCATCTATTATCATCACTGATGACTGCTAATTAATTTATATTAATTAAGAATTGTTCATTAATTACTCATAATAGAAGTAACTAACCAAATTTAAGTTAACATTTTCAAATAATTTTAACGGAATTTCTCAAGTATTCACAATTTTTTAATTGTAAAATTAATTAATTATTAATAACCTTCAAAGTACTATTTATCATCTATACCTTCGTTGAGATTATTAGAGGAAGGTCAATTTGTTGAAGCTGTTTAAATCAATCAGTATTCAATTGTTAGTAAATCTCAGTTATATATTTCATTTCTGATTTAAATAACCTTCTAACTTAAAAAAGTGAAGGTTGTATTTTGTCAAAAATTCTTAACTACATTTTAATATAATATAGTTTTTCGTATGACACAGTTTTTACATATATTAAAAAATAATAATAATTATTATTACCATTTATTTGATAATTCCATGAAAGTTTTGTTTTTTTCTTAATTCATATTTTAAGTTATTTAATTAATTCGGTGTATTTCCATTTTTGTTTTCAAAAAAAAGGTCTGAAAATTTTCAACCTGTTCATCCTATTCTATCGATGAAATTTCCAAATAAACATTTTATCGTATGTATTTATTTATTCGTATGGTAATGGATAAATAAATAAAGGCATTAAATGATGTAATTTTTAAGGAAGACATTATGCTGAAAACATTTATACTATTAATGTTAATTGCTGTCGGTGGATATTGTGATATATTTGCGGAAGTTGGTGATTTCTTTACAAAGCATTTTACTGATGTCAAATCACTCTTTGCAAGTGATGAAAAAGTTCGTTTTGTACTTTTTGTTTTTTCCTTCTTTTCCTGCTAATTAAATATAAATAAATTTAGTGCTTAAAATTGATAGAGAAATCATTTATCAAATGATGATATTACAAAATGGTAATAATTTTTGATAAGAAACGAAAAGTTTGAAATTCGAAATTAAAAGCATAAAGTATTAAATAATGGTAGAATTTAAAGTGAAATGTGTTTAAGCTTATTTAAGAATGTTTCACTCAGAATTAATCAAAAGTATTCAAAAATTTTAAGGAATTACAACAAGGTTTGAATCGAGTGAGAGATTTGTTGACAGCAGTTCAAGAAAAATTGCCGCTATTAAAACCATTGGCTAATGAAGGACAGCTGAAAATATTGAACAAAATTGGCAATCTACTTTCTCAAGTCAACGATTTCCAGAGAAATGTATGTTTTTTTTTTTTTTTCTGGAAATATTTTCAACAGCTTTCAACAGGTACTAGTGATACAGTACCTGTTGAAGACTAATTTAAATTTGGAAAGAGATTTCGTTTTAATTAAAATCTCAAGAAAGAAAAATCGTCTTTTAAAACATCGATCAACGAAAGAAATGTCTAATTTAAGTCAAATAATTTAAATTTCTAAAATAAACACAAACTTTTCCATATCATTTAAAAATTTTCGGGATTTCTTTTTTTTTTTTTTAAATCATAAATCGCAAAAGATTTCGGTATCGTCCGACATTGAGTTGTATCAAATAACAAGAAAAGGATTTCTACAAATTGGTCACTCAAGTGATTCTTCGCTTTTCTTCAAAAATAATCTGGCTCGTTTCGAGATTTTCGTTTCCGAAATAACACTTCTATTTTAAGAACTCAATAATTTAACATGATCATAATCACATCATTAATTTAAAATGCTACAGATTTAAAAAATAATTAGTAAATTCCAAAAAAAAAAAAATCTAGCTCAATGTTTGCTTTAATAAATAACAAAGTAGCAGCAATTTGAAGAATGAAAAAAGAACTTTATTTCGAGTAAGTTTAATTAATTTCAATTAATAAATAACTTTTTCAACGTTTTTGATATTTGATACAGCAAAGTTTCAAAATTTCTTTTTTTTTTGAAAAAGCCGATCATTTAATAGTGAAATAACGAAGCAAGCAAACTGCCGTTTAAAAAGCCTTATTGTGCTATATAATTTATACTTTTAATTTTGCTCCATTTATCGGGCTTTCTGAAAAAGATTTGTAATATCAGTTGTCAAAATCATTCTGCGCCATCGACAATTAAACTACTGATAAAAAAAAAAAACCAATTGCTAAAACATTGCTTTTTTTCTGAAGTCGTAAAATTACAGGTGTTTAACTCTAAAATGGAATTCAATCAGAAAGAAAATAATTGGGAAAATCTGGTCAAGAAAATTTTCGTTTCCGAAGGTGTTAGCAAGATCATACCATTGGTGCAGCAGCTACTTAATAGTGCACCTGCAACATTTGCAACTTATCTGCTCACCTTCGTTGTTCCTTTCTTGATCAATGCTTTACGAGAGTAACATCATCATCTTCTATTTCTGTTGGAAATTCGATAATTGTGCATATTCATATCGCATTTTATTAATTTTAGAGATACCATATACCCGCATATTTTTACATTAAGCTAAATTTTGTTCGTGTACGTGCTGTGAATTCTCGTTGTCCTGTTTTCTTGCAAATAACATTATTACATTGATTTGTCAAATTTATATGCGAAAATTTTTTTAATAATCCTTTCAAAAAAATTGGATGGCATTGTAACAACTTATTTCTAACACAAACAGAACGTATGATCACGCAACGTTTGTAGAATATATGGCCATTATTTAGTGAAATATGTTCTTATAGATACGATCATGAAATTGTGATCGATTTTCTAGTCTATCGATTTATTACGAATGTAGAAATTTTATGGAATAGTGGTAAATAAAACGATTTTGTCGATGACAAAAAAGTGATTTTAAATGCGTTCCAGAATATATTTTACTCATTTGTCAAAAATCATTCGCTTCCTTTCTGAAATACTTTCTTCCCTTTGAAAATCAAGGTCTAACCTGATCCAAAATGCTATAAAAAAGATGAAAAAATGAGATTCCGATAAAGTGCTTTCTAATTAAATAAATGAAAGAAAAAAAAAGGAAATTTAATTTTGATAATAAATTTTACCGAAAGCACTGCTGTTTTGACCTTGTCGAATATTCGAATTAAATAAAATGAAAAAATAAAACGACAGAGATTGGCCAATGGAAAAATAGAAACAATTGACTTTGAATGTCAAAAATGTTCTTTTGGAAAAAAAGCGTGCATCAAAATAGTTCCGAATGCTTTCAAATTTAACCGGAAACAATTGAACACATTAAAGTAATAACAATGGAATGTATATGCCTTCCGAACTTTAACAAAAAAGAAATAAAACGATCCCTACTAGGATTATGCATCAAACTATTCATACGGCATAAATCTAGAACCTAAGGAAAGACGAGAAATACCTTAGTTTGTTCTTTAATATACATATATATATATCAAACTCAAAAGATAAAACTTAACGAAGTGAATAAAAATGTACAACAAATGATTAGAGAAGAAATTCAGAAAAACGATTTTCAAACAGTTGAACAATCAAAAAAATGAAGAAAATTAGGTACGAATAATCAAAACAAAATCATTCGAAAATATATAAATGATTACAACAAGCACTATAAGAACAATCTGATGATGCTGATACCTAACTTAAATTGATTTCAATTTCAAAATGTTGGCTCCTTAATCAACTTTCATAATTATGAACTAATCCAACAAGCTTTTAAATATCTAAAATGTAGCTCCAACTTTATTATCCCTTATTAATCTGTAGATGACATCTACAAAAATAAGACTATTATAATGAGTAGATTTGTCAGTACATCATACAGAAAACGAAAATTTATGATGAAATATGGAAATTAACAAGCTCTTTTCGGTAAATTATTAATGATACATAATGAAAACATAATATAGGTATTTTGTAATAAATGGGGCTACATAGCGAAGAAATGTAGTTGTGTTAACAGTAACCTAAATTGAATTGTAAAAATTATGACTGACAACCAGGGATACAGATCTCTTGCAAGAATTTGTATCTCTTTTGAGAGGTGCTGAAAGAATTTGTATCTCAACCTATAAGTAACATCAGTGAATAACACACAGACGAAGAATACAGAAATGACACTTATTCTTCATATGACAATAATTTCAAAATGTAATAAACAGCATAAAAAGTTTTCTATAAAAGCCCTTGATCGGCAAAACAATCGTTGGCAAAATAACTAAGGTAACGATGAAAAGCCGCTAATAAACTGGTCCAATATGATACACGCGAACATTATGGTGGAACATAAGGTGGAGGTTGTCTCTGATTCGTGAATGCATTTCGAGGTCGCGGGCTTGATGCAGTAGAAAGCGGAGGAGGTGGTTTGTAAAGAGGATTCTCGTGCTGAGAAATAATTAACGGTGGACGTTCTTCCTTAACCAACATTGGTGTCGATACTGTTGCTGTTTCATCTTCTTGTGGGATTTCTTCTGGAAATACCACTGGCAAACCTTTCGAAATGTACTCTGATTGAACTGAAATAAAAAAATTGTTTTCCGAGAATAAAACATTTATTTTTCGAATCATGCTGCTCTAACATTGAAGCTTCCTAAAACGCGTAAAGAAGAATATAGAGATTTTAGCAGCAATAACCACAATCCAAACCTGCTTTTGCTTTCTTTCGTCTTATCAAACAGCAAACTAATGCCAATGTAGCCAAGAAAAATTTAAGGAATGCAATAAGGGCAATTGGCAACCACAGTTGAACAGATGAACCATCATGATCCGGAGTAACGGTGGTTGTGGATAACGAAACATTTGCTGGAAGACGAGATGTTGGCGATTCTTTCATACAAGACCCTGAATCAGTAAAATCCTAACACATAAATTTCGAATCGAAAAGAAATAATATCTAGCGGTAAAGTAAAAAATAGAGGAATGAACCGTTAAGTTGTCTAAGCAAATGGTGCAACGTCCTTTCAATAGCGCTCTGAGTCGCTACATAATGGTTACAGTCGATGATCGCAGCTGGGATAGAAACAAGCTTACCCAGCCACCGTGAAATATTGCATTCAATCCTTCCGTTCCTAATACATTACCGGTGATAGAAATGATAAATTACCTCGGAATTCTAATTTCACATTCCTCACATGAAATCGACTATCCATTGCTCGAACAAATTCGGCTCGGATACGATCTCGTCTTCTAGTTAGCATAAGATGCTTAATTGCATCAATTGCTTTTTTTTGACAATATTTGTATGACAAAGAAGCATTAGAAAAAATTACACGGGACTGACGCCTTACACTATCAATAGCCTCAATTTTCCTGCAAAATATTTGAAATATAATACTTTACGAATGCTGAAAAGTGAACCCGCATAACATTTCCACACTTTAATAACATTACCGAATAAGCAATACAAAACACAAAAGTGCCTAAAAACTAACCTAATAACCAAATTTTTTGGAAATCGATCCCCTAATGAATTAGCCAACTTTTCCGCAAATGCGCATAAAATGTCCGGATCTTTCGCTAATCGTTCAGAACTGTGGTCAACATCAAGAATGAACAAGTGGTTAGTTGGTGGCGCAGGAATAACTTTTACTCGAAAAGGTGCAGATGTCATCTGTAAAAAGCGAGCAATAATGGCATGTGAGTGCTACTGCAAAAATTCATACCAGAAATTTCCCATGTATCATGATCATGTAATATGTTATTACGAAGCTAACATGTTAAGAGCATTTGTTCATGCCCTCCCTATCATTATGTTACCTTCACTTGGTGGTCATCCGATCTATCCACTAATCCAATGCAATTATAAGAACAAACGTTTCGCTTGCCTGATTTGCAGAGTCTCGCGCTTCCAACCGAAATTCAAAATCTCCCGTACTCAATGAGATGCCGTGTAAAATCTGCTTATTTTTCCTATCTAACGTAAGCCAATTGTCTTCAGTAATAATTGGATAAACGGATAAACTAAGTGAACGCGTATCTCCATCTTCCGCATCAATAAATGTTTCCCTCGGAATGGTATACTCGCACATCATACCTCTAAATTACACTATAGATACCGTATATGATAAGGTTAAAAAATAATGATTGATGATAAAGCCAGCTAATTATTAATTAACTACTTGAATAGAATTATACCCACTGAATTGTATTAAACAATGCTATAAAAAAGCATCGAAGCGCACCTCCTGCAAGTAAAAGCTTGAAGTGAATGCAGTCGAACTGGAGGTTCGTCATCTTTTTTTGTAGAGCGCGAAGAACGTGTTGTGGTTTTAGAAGTTGTCGCTTCAAAATTAACATATGGTTCATTCGTACCAAAATCCGAAAGCTGAGATACGACATCGGCTCCGGCAATATGGTTACGTTGTTTCCGCGGTAATAAGGTTCCTTTTCTGAGCTACAAAGCTTACAAAGACATAATTTATTAAAAAGGATTAATAAACTGATCAGCGATAAGCTTATCAAGGTCATTACATCATTTCAGCTTACAATTCGTGAACTCCAACCTAATCCATAAAAGGTCTACGTTCTAATGACTTAACCTATCATAAACTCTATCGATTCAAATAGAACTAAAACAAATTCCAGTGCCCCGAAAGATACACTGCAAAATTTTTGACAGAATTCTTGGATTTAGAAAGAGACCTTGGGAATTAAATGGGTTACTATCAAAGTATGCTGCTCTACTTCCTAAAATTTTAAATAAATGAAACTACTGTTGGCACGAACCTCCCAACCCAACAGTTTTTGGCGTAATACTGCCAAAGCATCACTCTCATCGAACGTGAGCATTCTTTCTAGCACATCAATAGCATCCTCATCAATTTCTTCGCAGGAAACTTTCCACATAATTGTCGTTGAATCACTGTTCGGCTTATGTTGCATACCGGATTCTACAACTTCTGAACGTCTTACTCCTTCCTTGTACTTATTTGAATAAACACGAAGAGAGGAACTGAAAAATATCAGCGCAATTAATAATTAATCTCAACAATTCCGAGTAAAGGTGTGTCCGTGTTGGACGATGCTAAATCATGGCAAAAATACTGAAATTTTGCAGTCATGATAATTCAGAGAAATTTATAGTCAATAGATGATTAATGCTGGGCGGTTTAACAGAGTCATGTCGTTGTTTGAAGATGTTCCGTGTTAACTGTCCTAAATTTCGAACTTTCACAAAAATCTTTCAATAACTATGAGTTTTTAAAGTCAAAAACTGATTTTTTACATCAGCTTAATTTTACTACTGTTACACTGCTTACATCATGCACATCTTTACTTACCTGTTAATATTAAAAAATTTTTCGATAATATTAACAAGATGCAACTGATCATTAATACTCAGACTGCTAAGCGAAGTATCAAATGCAATTTCCATCCATAACGTATTCCTTTCCAAACCACATGGATTTATGATTTCTTCCTTGACGGAAATTTCCATCACATCGTTCGTCTGATTGTTCATTATCCGTAAAAATGTTTTTCCAGCATCAGTAGGTTGTGGTATACCTTCCAAAATCCTTAAAAAATAAAATACTATCCATATTTTCCCGTTATTTATTTAATTCGGAATGAAATCCTTGTGGAACAGAAAAATTACCGTTCATTTCTTTTCCAAATTAACCATGTTGGTAGTTCTTCACCGGATGCGTCCTGGACATCCAATACATTTGAATTAATTCGAAATACATAACGAAACGGTTGACCAATTACCAATTCTACCACTTCTGGTATCTCTGCTGCCCCGCTGGCCAAACATATAAATAATGCTACTATTGGTTTAAAATGTTCCATCTGCAAAATTTTTCTGGTAATTGAAAGTTTGCATTAATCAATAATCATTATTATTGCAATCGAAAATGTCATACAGTGTCCTGAATGGTAACGATTATTTTCATGAAGGAATTTGCGATTAGTTATATAGTTATATAAGGCAATTTTTACTTTTCCACCAACCAAATTTGCTCCATAGGTTCTGAATAATATTTCCTCATTTTTTACGCTAGAAATATGTCAGATCCTAAAAATGGAGTTCATTTTCATTTGTGTAAGGGAAAAAAATTTGACAAACCTTATAGCCATCTTATTTAAAAAGATGGACACAATTCGGTGGAACAAATAGCCTTTGTCATTATCCTAATTATAAAACAGAATATCTCTCGTCTTGCAAAAAAAAGGGATAGATGTTGGATAAAAGAACAACAGCGGTGTTAGTAAACACAGTGCTTTGCGATTGCTCTAATCGTACCTGTCACTGACAATTCAAATTTAAGCACAACTAAATACTGGAATAAGTGGAAAATATTGAAATCGCAATCATATGTTGTTCTCTCTTCCGAAGTCGCTTACAAACGGTAAGACCTCCCAAAAAAGACTCACAGGCCATGATAGATGGACATTTTGAATTAGGCGTTATTTGCGGACGATAAAGATCGATGAAATTTGAAAATATCTAAATCAGACATTAAAGCTATGAAATAGCGTTGAAATGTAAGAGACGGCATAATTTGCTGAAATTTGCGAAATAGCATGTAGCTGGAGAATAAGATAATATAGGATAGTTGTTGTGCTGCGGTCGTAGTGCTAGTAGCTACGATGAATAAAAAGTTTGCAATATTTGAAGAAACAGCAAAGAATAATAAGATTTATTAGATGCAGTGGAGAAGACAATGAAAATAGCATTCTTACTTTTGTCCCGAAACGTGCATGTCAACTTAATTGTCGATTTAATATCGGTTGGAATTTGTGGGGCTTTCATATCGGGCGATGAGTTGTGGGGAAGCGGTCGTTTGCTATTTCTGGTATTACTTCTTCTTGGTTTTCGTGACTTATATGTCATAATATTGGAATGTAGAATTGTAAATTTTAAGGAAAAGGATGGGACAGGATATAATTGTCGCCAGGAATAGTAATTTCTTTAGTTTACGGTGAAAAGGGAGAAAGTAAGAAGAAAGTGAAGGCAGAAGAGTGAATGGGCTCTCTGAATGAATCCTCTCATCTTTATTCCTTATTCATGATCAATTCGCTGATAAATTATATCACTTTTTAAAAGAAGAAAAGAATTCTGTGGGAGTGTTTTTTTGGGTTAGAAAATAAGAAGTAGAATAGATTTTGATAAGAATCATGTCTCGTCAAATTCCAGTTACCTCGAGATGCCGTAGATGAATATATGGTGAAAGCGCAAGACCATTTCTAGTTCGGAAAGCTACAATAATGTTTTGTTTCCTCGAGATGCCATAGACGAATATATGGTGAAAGCGCAAGACCATTTTTAGTTCAGAAAACTAGAGTAATGTTTTGTTTCAGATATTGGCGTATCAGCCAACCGATGAATCAGGCATATTACTGTGATTGTTTAGAGAGACATAGTAATTTTGGATTTTACTAAGGCAAGTTAAGTTTGCATTTTCCTGCAAATTTGCATTTACTTAGATTTGCATTTCTTTAAAGATGCATCATTTTGATACAATGATCTGATGTTTCTTCTTTAGACTCTCCTTTGTTTATTTGCAGATGAAGGATTAGAGAGAGATGGCTGATAGTTTATGCAGTCCATTGGTACCATGTAGGTGGCCGATGCATCTTTTGGCTGGGTCAGTTGCGGGTCTTGCTGAACACTGCCTTATGTTTCCATTCGATTCGCTGAAAACTCGATTACAAAGTTTATGCCCATGTCCAGAAACAAGATGTCCAACGGCAATGCATAGTCTTTTGTTAATGGTGAAACGTGAAGGTTTGCTACGGTCATTGAAAGGGGTCAATGCTGTTGTATTTGGTACCATTCCGGCTCACGCTTTATATTATACGGTTTATGAAAAGTTGGTATTTTGATTTCTTTTTTCTGAACTGAATCATTACGTTGATCTCATCACTACCAACTAAGATCAGATTTATGCTTATCTCTTCCGCTCTCTTTCAAGACAAGCGGGTATAACTTCCATTTTTTGCTTCTTTATTATTTCTTCGCTTTTAAATTTATTTAAAAAATTTTCTTGCTTGAATTTTCTCTGTTGATATGTCTTCTTTTTCTTCTGACCCAAGTTACAAAGGAAATTTTCAAAATTTTCATTGAAATTCAAAGGATTCAGGTATAAATGACGATAGTAATGCATAAAATCTTGCAGTTCCAAAGCTTATTTGTTAAATAATTCACGAGTATCTAGTTCGACGTCATATGCGATATCTGGAGCGCTTGCTACTGTTATCCATGATGCTGTTATGAATCCTGCTGAGGTATTCAGTTCTTGTAATTTCTTTTTGATTTTTTCTAAAGTAGGGAAATCATTTAACTGGATCAACTGTAAAGGACGGTTTGAAGGCTGGCAAGTTGATTCTTATCTAGAATCTGGGGGAGGTTAGGTTTCGGCCCGTTACATCGTTATTAGATGATATTCTTGTTAATGGTGTGTTTTCAGGTAGTGAAACAACGCATGCAAATGATTTTTAGTCCTTATGGTAATAGCCTGGAATGTATACGCTGTATTTATATTCGAGAGGGTCTCAAGGCCTTTTACCGTTCTTATATTACGCAACTAACACTGAATGTACCTTATCAGTGTACGCATTTTATGATATATGAATATATGCAAACCTTACTAAATCCCTGTCATAATTATAATCCTTCTTCTCACCTTGTTTCCGGAGGTATGTTTTGTGTGTTCTCTGATTTTAATAGGTTTGTTGTTCTTTATAACATCTACGAAGTCTTTACTAAGTACTTCATTTGTATCAAAGTGAAAACGGTAATGACCTTTACCTCCTACAACAATTGTACAATTGCGATTTCATGCACAGTTGCAATTTCAGGTCTTTCTTAATCTTTTCGTATGCTGTTTAGCAGTTTTTGAATATCGCTTTTCCGCCATTGTATATCTCTTTTAATGGTGATTTTCTGAATGCCTTTATCTTTCTCTTTAGAACTTGAATTCCAAAATAATTTACAGGAATTGCTGGTGGAATAGCTGCAGCTATCACAACTCCTTTTGATTGTGTGAAGACTGTTTTGAACACACAACAAACTCCCCGACTCAATACCACGTATCGATTGCTCACTCAGAACGAACATACGGCATATTACAAGTATTTCTTCAAAATTCTCATTAGAAATGTTTGTCGTGTTAAAAGTTGAGACCGATTTTTTTTTTGCAGCATACCTTTATCCTACTGCATGCTTCCTGGATGGTACTCCCATTTGTTCTTTTGATCATGTAAATTATTTTGTAGGGGACTGGCTGATGGAATTCGGACGATCTATTATCTTCGAGGCACAGGTGGATTTTTTCGTGGACTTCAGGCTCGAATAATATTCCAAGTTCCTTCCACAGCTCTGAGCTGGTCTGCCTATGAATTGTGCAAATACATGCTTTCTGTGCGAAGTTGATTCCTGTGTTTAATTCCTTCATGGGTATACCTCCTTAATTTCAGTTTAGCTAGCTTGGTTAGTTCGTTCCATTTATTGCCTTGTAAGGTTTCTTTTTTTCTGGTTGAATATGACGAGCTGTTTATGCAGTTTCGGTTTAGAATTCTTTGTACTTCTTGATAATTTGAATTCAATTTCAAACTCTGTATCAAGTATCTTTATGTACTGGTGTTTTTGTGTGAATGATGACAGTGGCTATTTATTCTTGGTTATTTTTGCTTTTATACTGATGTAGTAGTACACATTAAACTGATAATAAATAGCTTGAATTTATGTTTAATGTTGTGTTTAATTTATGTTTAATCCTGATCAAAAGCTGTTTTTGGCATATTTATCTAACATGTATTTTCTTTTCTAATGCATCTGAGGAATTTTCAACTTACTTGATTTGGAAAGCTGAAAGGAGGAAAAACATTCGATGTAGGATCTTGTGAAGGTTCACTGATAAGTAAAGCGAAAATGTAATTTTCGTATTTATAATGGTTCTTTAATGAAAGTAGGGAAACGTGTTTCGGACGTTTTCATCGGTCATGAAAATTGCTTCCTTTATATATTGATTCACTAAATTATGCATAATTACCAGAGTGAAAATGTCTGGAAATTGTACCAATGCTGATAACATTTCACCGATACAAAACGAAGAACAGCATAGACTGGTGCCAGAGCGGAACCTTGACCGTGTTGTATTGTCGCGTGGAGACGCAATTCATTCTACGATGGAATGCGTGAGTGACGATTCTGAATATATGGAAGCTCTTTCAACACAACCTAAAAGTGACGTTGCGTCAGGTACTTTGTGAAATTCATTGAAGTCGTATAACTTGAGGCACGTGTAAGCGGCAATAATCACATTAATGCTGCTGAATCAGCTTGCAATCATAATTGAGATGACCTTGTTATAGGGCGGAAGGGGAGGCGGGGGGGGGAGAGGCAGAGTCAGTATTTGTGGTTGCTTTTATTAATTTTTCTTTTTATTTTGTTTCATTATTGCTGCTTCTACAGACATTTATCTCATCGACGGTAGATATCGGAAATAATTAAAACGTAGTAGAAAATATGTCTTGCTGTTTCGAAATTATTGTGTGGGTTGCTGAAAATGAAATAGGGAAGTAAAGAAGAAATTATTGACAGCCTACCTGGAAGGTAGGTTAGAAAAAACAGTTCGATGGGTGATTTGAATTCTTCGAGAAAAAATTCATATGATAATGCATAGTTTATTATTGAGAAACGTTATCCTTAAAATGGATAGTATTAGTAAAATTTATAAAATTTGGGAGCAGTATATTCTAATTTTTTATTTCAAGGCATGTTGGATCAGTCTATGGTATCTATAACAGATTCCTCATCAAATTTTGCTGATCTTGTGTCGGCAAGTAGGGTTAGTTCCGAAAACTTTGAAAATAATATCAAAGGAAGGAACGAAATGGAACAGAAAAAGAGGAGTGAACAAGTGGAACAGGAACAGGTGAGGAATATTTCAGTAACGCGTAGATTACATCATAGCTTTTTTCGGCTGTTCCGATTTTGAATAATTTATTCTTGCAAGAACGTTTGCTTGAATCAAATTCAATCTCAAAAAATTTATTTGATGTTCAGAAGCGTTTTGGAGGTTTCATGTTCGATCGAAATCGTCACCCCAATCCAGAGCTTCCGATGGAAACCGGTATTATTTTTGATCAGTAGTTCTAAATAATTTCCTTGTACACGTTGTGAGCGGTAGTGCAGATTGGTGAAAAAGCACTATATTTTGGAATGCTAAATGAAGTGAATATTTTAGCACGGTATTTCCATTCATCTAAAAATGCGGAGTACTGGGATATTAATATTCTGGAGAGAAGTGGTGAATTTTTTGTGTCCCATGCGCTAGTAATGCGCTGTTTTCATATCTGACAGTTAAAATCTACATTTTTTTTTTCCAGTGACAGTTCTGAACTATCCCTTCCCGCCTACATCTATACCAGTTGGAGATGATGAAAATGAATTCCGCAAATCATTGGCTGATGCAAAAGTAAGAACTCGGAAATCATTAACATATGTAGTGTGTATTTAATGTTTTTTAATATAAAAGTGTTCTTGTTCATTTATTATGTATATATATCCATCAAGTCGACTTATCGTGTAGTTTACTACTGTAATTTAGGTGTATTTGATTGGAACGGCTCATTTTTCTCCCGATAGTCAGCAGGACGTTTTGAAAACAATTGCAAGTACTCAACCAGATATGGTTATGGTTGAACTTTGTCCGTCGCGAATATCAATACTCTCAATGGACGAGGATACTTTACTTGAGGAAGCGAAAAATTTGAATTTCGATAAAGTTATTAATACCATTAAACAGGTATGTTGCTGTGTATAGTGGAGCAAGTTTTGGAGAGGTCATTGCCTTCGATATTGCTGTTGAACTGACAACATTACCTATTCAGAGTGGCGCAGTTCAAGGAATACTTCACGTATTGCTGTTGTCTATGTCTGCGCATATGACAAAGGTGCTTGGTATGGCGCCCGGAGGAGAGTTTCGAGCAGCTCACAGGTAATGTTTTATTTGAAATTATCCTAAATAGAATTTGTTTAATGTTCTTTTTGAATTCACAAATCCAAATAATTTTGGTGTGCAGTATGTTACCAGTAGCATCTTTTTGAAGTGTCATATTTTTAAGATTAGTTTTGATTATTAACACGATTACTTGTTGCTGTGTGTTCCCACTTCTAGATTTTCAGAGGTGCTATGGACGTAGAGATGTGTAAGCTAATTCTGGGTGACCGTCCAATACACGTGACTGTACAAAGAGCATTGGGTTCTCTAAGCTTTTTTCAAAAGCTTCGACTTTTCTACCATATAATTCTTTCACATAAAACAACTATCACGTAAGTTTTTCACAAATTTCTTTCCTCGTTTTTTAATGTTGTACTCGTATATTCTCATTTAAGATTTATTTTTGTTTGTTTTTTCTAGTCAAGAAGAAGTAGAAAAATGCAAGAAGTCAGATATGCTGGAAGAACTGCTTAAGCAGATGGCTGGTGAATTTCCATTGCTTTCGAAAATCTTTGTGGAAGAACGTGATCTGTATATGACCAATGCGTTGCACACCCTACTTAAAAAATCTACATTTGATAAGAGAGTGGCATGGATTAAAACAGATGGTAATCTTCCTTTATGATTTGTTTAGATGGTTTTTACCGAATATCGAAATTTTAATGTTATGCACATAGATACATTTCACCACTGCGCGTGCTGTTGACTTAATGAAAAAATCATACTTCGTTACCAGCTGTTGTGTGAAGTTGAAGCATGTCTGGAATGAAAATGGATGTTCTGTTTGATATAAAATGATTTGTGTTGTAAGAAATTTTGATTTTTTTGTTAACAATTTGGTATTTTTTAGCCGCCTGGCAACCAATATCTGTTGTAGCTGTTGTCGGTATGGGACATGTTCCTGGCATCATTTCTAATTGGAATAAAAGAATTGATGTTGGCGATTTGCTGACGTTAGTTTTATCATTTCGCATATTATAGCCAACGTGCAGAAGTTGGATCCTTCTTCGTATCAGTTTTGTTTTTTTTTCTTGTATTTCCACAATGGTTTGTTATCGAATCAAAAAGAAAAAATGACTTAGTTTGAGGAGGTGCCAAATCAGATTTCGCTTTGGTATGACGTGTGATTTTTGATGCCAAAAAGAAATTTTGTTCTCAGTGATGGGCAAGCACCGAGAAGGCATTCAATAGAGAAACCGTGACTTGAAGATTATATTTAATGAGAGAAAAGCCGACCATAAATTTGAGTTTATTTTTCAGCATACCACAACCAACACACACTGAAAAATTTATCCGCTTGACTCTGAAAGCGATGATCATTGGCGTAGTGGGGTATGTGTTTTACCAAGTTGGTTCAAAAGTGGTCAACAAAGTGCAGATGTTAATGAAATGATATCTTGGTATAAAATTCAAATTTCCTTTGTACTGGCAATGCATCGAAACTTACATCTCTTATTACATCACTTTCTAACACGAAGACTATTCGTTTCAATGCAATAAGTAAAAAGAAAGTATGTATTTTGATCGCCATTTACATTATCTGATTTTCTTTAATGTTGTTTTATGTGCTGTTTTTGATCCAAAACAAGATGAAAATGATTTATTCGGAACAGGCGACTTATATGTGTGAACGATGTCTTCCTGTATTTGCGGATAATTCAATGTGGAAACAAATTTTTAAATGAATGATTGCATGTAATATACTAAACTTCTTTCTGTTAAAATACGTTTTGATAATAGGCGCATGTTTCCGTCTTGCAGTGAAGTGCTTTTTTATGCTATTTAAAATTTTAGTTACTGGTGTTTCTAGAACTTTCATCATAGTGTGTTGTGGCTGGCTTTATAATTGTTGTTTACGCTCTTTCCTTGCTTATAACTCATTTTCTGGCTTCAGGGAAACAAGAAATTAAGTAGTAGAATTGTTATTTGGTTGTGTTATTTCTTTTCCGAAGTCTGTTGTTGAAGATGTACCGAATTTTTAGACGATTATTTGCCTTGTTACTTTTTTGGTTTCATTTTATGTTTTTCTATTTGTCTGAAGATTTATATCGCAAAATATAGAAAGTTTAATTTAAACATTATCAATAGTATCGGGATTTTCCGGTGATCCTAGTAAGTACGTTCTGATGTAACTTCGCATATATATGGTCGGAGTGATGAAAATTGGTAATATCAGTCATCAATCACGTAATTCCCTTTATCATTAATTTCATAGGATTTTCTACTTCATTCATTTGAAAATTAATAATAAGCACCTGAAGGGAAATGCTAAATCGATGCGCACAATGGCTTAGTGCCTTATATTGCGTGGTATTACGGCATTTCAAGAATTCGCTGATTTCATTTGTTTTTTTCTTTTTTGCCTTTAAATTCATTTTGCAGTTCTTGTCTGCTGCTGCTATGCATTATTTCTTTCTACTTGTGTTGCTGTGAATATTTTATGTTACTTTAACAAAAAAGGAAGCAAAAGATCTTTCAATATATCACACTCCGTTAAAGTTATTTTTGATAAAAGTGATGTGTCAATTGGCCGGGATATGTATATTCAACTATCTCGCTTTTTTGAAATTTCATTTGCATTGAAATATCTGTTGTTTCAGTGAGACTTCTCAACACAAGAGGTACTTCTTTCGGAAAATTCTTTCAGAGCATGAAGTGGGAAGTAGCGTAAATCCTCGATAAGGATTAAGACGAGTGAGGACGTCGTTTCACAACTTCGGATGAGACGTATCTACTTTGATACTTCAACAGGCTTGCAAGGAATGAATGAGTTAATGGCCTTAGTTGTTAACCCTAGTGAAAAATGTAATTATTCCGCAGGAGAAATGAAGTCCGAACTATCAGCGGCATTTTGATCGTAAATCGAATGTACATTTAGAGAGAGACTCCGATGATGATACTCGATGTGGAATGGGATTTCATAATTTAGGGATATCTGAAGAGGATGAGGGAGAAGTTTCAAGACAATTTTTTCATGTAAAATGGTACAGCGGGTGGAAGGTCGTTATCGAACTACTAATAATTCCATTTTTTTAGTGAAGCGTTTTGCTGATAAGAGATGTGTAGTAGTTTTAGAGTGTTGGAGAGTACGGTGGTTGTAAAGTATCGGTAGATTGGAAGTCGTCTTCCATTTTATCGTCTCCTCTTCCTTCTTTTTTTCTCTATTTTCGTCACCTCTTGTTTGTCACAATCAGGCTTTCTTCCCTTTCCACTTTTTAATTTTTCCAGACAATTCTTTCTACTGCAGAATTTTGAGGCATATTAGCGGTTTTTCTGGTTTTCGCATAGAAGTCAGAGGTGCAGCTGAATAAATGCACTAAAGGGATGTTGTTGAATGTAATTTTTCTTGCTATAGATCTTCTGCGAGTAGTGATCACTATGTAAGGCGGGGGAGTTGTTGAGGTTTTCAAATTTTACCCGGTAGTTGAGTGATTAATTTGTTTTATTTTATTGTCTCGTAGTAATGCATTTCGAGGTCATTCTGCATAAAATAGTACAGTGTTTTGTGATCTTTATCCTTCTTTCAGCTACAAGTGTATGGTAATGATGAACTGTATAACAGTACGTATTGATCGCTTTTTGTCTTAAGAGTAAATAATTAACTACATTTTCGTTGACTCAGAAGGATTGATATAATTTAGCAAATTTTTATACAAGAAAAAACTGCAAAAATTTCTGCGGAAATTCTGACAACTTAGTTTATTTTGATAAAAAAGTTAGGGAGAAATTGACTTCACTTGATTAGTAATTTTTGCATTTTATTGATTCCATCCCTTCCGAGTTTTTATAGGAATTTTTTAAAAACATTTTCTTTAGAGCTTGAAATAACCATTTTAATGGTAACTATTTTTTGTTGATTGTGGGGATATTTTACTGATTTCAAAGCACACTACATCTTGAACATGTTACATGTAGTTCTCTAGGATTTCCTGGATATCATGATAAGGTTTTCAATATCTATCTCTCTGTTATTACGATGTATATGTTTTAGCCAGCATTGTGTCATACTTAATATCAGTTCGATTTGGATACTGGCTAATCATGATATTTAGGTATGGATGAACTTAAACGTATCGCTTTCACAACACCATTTCGATATGAAGAAGCAGTGTATTACACAGGAACGCTGCGTAATGTCGGAATATACATTTCTGTGCTGTACGTAATTACAATTTTCTCCATCAAACTTGTGATGACTCGATTTAAACCGTTCCAGGTTTGTCACTTTATAATAATTGTTCCAACTATGTAGCTAATGACCGTTCAATTATTAAAAGAAAAACATATAACTATAACATTTTTTCGAAAGGGAAATTTTTATTTTCAAATGTAGCTTTTAATGTTTTAGCTTACCGCAGCATTAAACTTTTGGAATACCTGGTTGGCAGTATTTAGCGTGTTGGGATCATTCTTCACGTCGATTGCTCTTTTTTCAGAAATCTACAATCACGGTCTTGTAGGTATGCATGCTTCTGGTTCTTGCAATAAAGCAACGTACTGTTATCTATTTCTCGACTTCACGTAGTGTAAATTGACGTTTCCACCATTACACGATTAATTTAATCAATGAATCATTACCTTTAGTTAATTTAATAAGTACAATTGGGGTGTCAGTGCGACATATGATGTACAGCTTTCGATTGTTGTGGATGGCGTACATAAGCTGTAACATATCAGATCGTGTATTAGTGGCGTGTTTGATCTATCTGAATTAATTTCTATTGCAGCATCATATACGAAAATGGGCGATTTCTTTGAAGGAACCAGTGGCTATTGGTCATGGTTGTTTTGTTTATCGAAATTTGCAGAGCTTGGTGATACAATATTGATTGTACTACGCAAGAAACCTTTGATCTTCCTACACTGGTACCATCATGTTTTAACACTCAACTACGGCATCATCTCTTACAGTCAGCATACACCATATAACACCTGGATTATATGGTTGAATTTCACAGTTCATAGTGTTATGTACAGGTAAGCTGTTTTTAGTGTTACGTACAGGTAAGCTGGGTAAGTTATTTATTCATTAACTAAAATCGTTTTTCATCAATTGACATAGTGACATTATTAAAGTAACTGGTTATGTTTTCATCTTCATTTATTTTAAGTGTGTCAGTTCTCTTAATTTTACAGGGGGTAAAATCCATAAAATTAAAGTGTATTGGTGAATCTCCCTCTCTTTCTTAAGGAGTTCTCTGTTTTTAATGAGTAAATCGACATCCAGGAGAAATTTAGGAAATAAGTCACGTCAGGAGTAGTAATAAAAAACTTCCTCATTTTATTTTCATATAGGTATTGCAGGATTTCTTGCAATATATTTTATTATTGATGGCTCATTGTCTCTTTTCTTTGCAGTTACTATTTACTGCGATCAGTCAACATCCGCGTACCGGCAACCATTGCACGCAATATTACATCCTTGCAAATGCTACAGTTCATTATAACGTTGCTTATCCTTATGCATGTTGGCTATTTGATGGCTATTGGTGAAGCCGTCGATGGAACTCTAAGCACATATTTGCTGTGCTTAGGCATGGAAATTTCTTACGTTATTCTTTTTGCTAATTTCTACTATCAATCGTACATGAAGGGTGGAGGAAAGAAATTCAAAGAAGAGAAAATGGTGATGAAAAAAGATTAGAATAGCATTGCACCGTAATTCTTGTACCTATGAATTGAGGGTCTTCTAAATCTAAATGAATTTATTAGTTTCGTAACTAAAACTTCAGTCCTTTTTTTCATATGGAGCAGAAAATGGATTGGAATCAATCCGGGGATTTTTTTATTGAATTTCTGAAATTACGATTGCTGAGGATCGGTTGATTGTGCTAATTCAGGCTATTGAACATTATTGGACAGCAGAGGAGGATATGGAGAAGGAATTTTTATAGATTGCAGTATTTTCATCACTATAGGGTATTGTAGTGCTGACTTGAAAATAGTGGCATCAAGTTGAGATAATTTCCAAGCAGATCTTTTAGATCATTTTCTGAGGAATTTTTTTGACAGAGGTCAGATGTTTCTTCTCTCCGTTAAGCTTTTCTGCTACTCTTCTGTTGTTCTTTATCCGCCGTGGAACATTTGTTGTATTTCAGTGTGTTTGTGTCAGTAGTTTGTTTGTGATGCAGTGCACCTTATTATGTTGCTGCAAAATCACTAGAAGTTTGAACGAAAAGCAAAGGCATCTTACACTTTTTCTTAATTTGAATCCAGAAGTAATTTTCTACTCTTGTTGGAATGTTACTTTGTGATTATTGTAGTCTGTTTCAAAGTAATTCAATTAACTTGGAGCTTAATTGCAAGAAGAAAATGAAATATACTTGGACGTAATCATTGTCTACCATTGAGTGGTTTTTTTTTGAATTAGTTTCATTTGCTTATCGCTGGTTT